TGTTTTCTTTGTATATATATATATATATATATATATATATATATATATATATATTGGCTATGAACCACCTGTTCTAATGCTGATAGAGCTTGTTTTTTGGCCAAACCAGTAAGTTTCTACCGTTTAAGATATGGGTGATTGAATCCTCTCAAATTAATGTCTTATCCTTCTGTTTCCTCATGTTGTGTTTTGCATCTTACTACCAATCAAGGGGGCAAGGGTTGAAAATGGCAGGGGAAGAGAGCGAGGATAGAAAGAAAATAAGTATTTTATTTCTCTTTATTGATGTCAGTGCTGCTGTTCTTCAGGACTGTTATGCTTATGGGAAATTATCTTAGTGATAAATATTAAATCCCAAAACTCTAAAAAATGATATTGTAGGGGTGCAGTTCTTCTTATATAATCAAAGTAAATAGCAATATTTTGTTCTGTCTAACATCTTAATGCATCTTATCAACTGCTAATTATATTTCAAGTGAATATTGTTGCTAATAAGTAATCAGCACTTGCTTCAATTTTTTCTTTTAGGGAACTTTTACACACAAAAAACCGACAAGATGAGACATGTGAAAGATTGAATGATGTTCTACGAGACTCCTGTATCAGCTGTGAACTTCAATTGGCAGGTCCAGAGTATGAATGCAATCAGGGCATCTCTTCTTTGTCTCCTGCGTTAGCTGAGGAGCTATTTCGATGTGAGTTATCAGATAATGAAGTTCGTTCTCAAGCTCTTAGCCCTGACATGACAAAGTTGAAGAAAACCAATGTAACACTAGACAATTCCTTAAGCCCAGCTCACACGCTAATTCAAATACGATGTGCTGATCACAAGGGTCTTCTTTATGATATTATGAGAACTTTGAAGGACATGAATATGAAGGTATAATTTTCTTTAACAAAATTATTTGTTGCACTCAATCAATGGTAGCTTTTCACTTTCCTAGTTTCCTCCAAGTTCCAGGTCCTTGTCCTTGAAGGAAATAATGTTTCGGCCAAGTTTTCATAGGGTTAAATGTGTCAAATTATGCATCCGATTTCGAAAATCAATGGGTACTTTATCAGTTTTGTGTGCATTGGGTCTTTTTAGTTGCTTTTAGGAGCCATCATTTGGACTGAGGTAGTTAGATGGTACAAACTTCTGATGTAGCTTTATATTTCACAAATCGTTCATCTTGTCATGGATAATTTTTTGAATGAAAATTGAAATTGTGTTAAATTTCTTTTTGTGCTGGCAATTATAGCAGTTTGCTGACACTCTAATTTTTCTTAGATTTCATATGGACGATTTTCACCCAATACCACGGGGTATCGTGATTTGGATATATTTATTCAGCAGAAAGATGGGAAAAAGATATTGGATCCGGAGAAGCAGAATGCACTCTGCTCTCGTTTGAAACTGGAAATGCTTCATCCATTGAGAGTAATCATTGCAAACCGAGGACCAGATACTGAACTGTTGGTTGCTAATCCAGTTGAGCTATCTGGAAAGGGGAGACCGCGAGTTTTTTATGATGTCACATTTGCTCTCAAAACACTTGGAATTTGCGTTTTCTCGGTAAGAAAATCAAGGAATGTGATAGCAAATCTATAATGTCTTCGTTGCTATAAAAATATAACTGCATTCATAATAAGCATTGGTATATCAAGCTGCATAGTCTTGTATGTGAAGCTTAGTTCCTTTTATGTACATATAGCCCTTGTTTTGACATTGGAAAATCAATTCTTATTCTTTCTAATGGAAGGAAAACAAGTAAGAAGAGAAATAAAAAATTGAAATTTGAATTAAAGGGAAAGGGAGAGGAAACAAAAAAAAATGAAATTTTGTTTTTAAAAGTCAATTTTTCTATACTTTTTCCTTTGTCTTTCTCTCCAACCAAATTGAAAGAAAATACATTGGTATTTTCTTTCTTCTTAACTAAGCATACCATAAAACCAAAGATAAAACTTATATGCAGTAACATAAGTGTTATTAATGATGTTCTCTTATCAGAATTTGAATTTTATCTCAATAATATGTATTATAAAAATTTCATTAAATACTAATGTGTATTATAAAAAAAGTGCATTATCAAATTAAAAATTTAATTATGATTGAAAAAACACCAACAATACATATGTATTATATCCAAGTTTTGTTCTAAAACAAATGAGCCCATAGTTCCTTCCCCGTGTTATAACGAATGTGGGGACATTGAATGGCAGTTCTATTGCAAGGATATTTTGAGTCCAAGATTTCAATTGCTTTGCATGCATATGACATGGAGAGCTATCATTAATCATATTTTCTCTCTGTTAGATTATAAAATACTCCAGAGCTGAAGTAGTGTAAGGAGTATTAGGCTTATAAAAAATTTCAAAATCTAATCATTTTATTCCATTTTTGTGATAGGCTGAAGTAGGAAGGCATTCAACTTCAGAGCGTGAATGGGAAGTGTACAGATTTCTCTTGGATGAGAACTGTGAGTTTCAATTAACAGGTGGTACTGCTAGAAATAAGATTGTAAATAAGGTTAGAAGAACCTTAATGGGTTGGTAAGTAGTATTTTTGATAATATTTGTTATGGAGCATTCGGTGTTGCAATGTGTGTCATGTACCATTGATTGTCTTATAATTATTATTGATATGTTGATCTTTGGTAGTTCGCTTTGTAATTCCACTTGCCTGTGTTTGATCTTCTTGGTGACTTGGTGTTCTTCGAATTACGATTATCATAAAACCTAGTTACGGGTTTTAAGATAAGAAGATGCCTAAGTTCCAGTTGTAACGTTGTAAAATAAAATCAGGGAAATACTATTAGGGTCAGTCTAGTCATAAATGATTGAAGTAGTATGAAGAAACTCAACATGTTACTCCAAACTATACTAGATCAATTTATTAAGCTGACAATGATTCCAAACAACAGCCAATAGGCCAAAAGAGCAATTAACAGCATGCAAATTTTTCTTTTTCATCCACAAATACAAGTTACAACTGCAGTCCTGCTGATAGTCAACTTAGCAATCCCCTCCCACGTGAACTATGAGAATAGGGAAACATAAATTATCAATATATAGCCTCCTTAAATCCGATCATCTTCCACTACACAAATCCCTATTGAATAATCCTGTTCAATCAAAGTCAAGTGTACACAAGATCATCTTCCACTATGTTTCAAAATTTACAAATGAGATAGAAAATTGAGAAGAAAAAAGAATATTACTCCTTTCGGTAACTAATATAAGGGGCAAAAGTGTTGGGAATTAACATATGTAATCCCATGTCTATGAACACAAAATAGGAAGGAAAAATAAGAATAAGGAGTGACAGTAAAAGATCTTCACTATAGAAGTAAGATTACAATTAGTTTCATTTTTTCAAGATGATCACTTTAATGATCTTACCCCTCTCAAATGATTATCTCTCAATTCTCACAAAGTGTAATTGAAATAATTTTCTCTTTTTCTCAAAAAAGAATACAATAATTTTCTCATTCTAATTCTCTTTTCCTCTCAGAGAATTCTAGAATGGATTTTATAGAATCTATGACCCCTCTAAGTGATAAGTCCCTCTAGTTTGTGTTTCATCATCCCTATTTATATGGGATGGAATAATCATCTATTCATCTTCATTCATCTCTTAACTTTTCACATACTGCATTCATGATTGGGGATTTTGAATTGGCTTTCTTACAAAAAAGCATGTTTATTGATCTCAAATAACTATTTAATAATGTTATTTCAAAATATCTCTTCAATTAATTAAAATTATATTTATAATGAGTTTTTTGGATACCAAGTTTCAATGAAAAGTAGTTTAGAAAAATACTCTCTCGACTTTGTGTATAAGCAACACAAATCACATGGATTTACTCTTTCAACTAATTTAATATTATTTGATAATATTATCTTTAAAGTGCTTGTGTTTAATTGAAAATTTTATTTCTAATATTTTTCTTCTTGATATTAAGCTTCAATGAATGATAGTTAAAAAAATTACTTTTTAGTAAAATTAATATAATTAAATAATATTAACTAATTTTTTCAGTTAACGTAAATAAGTGATTTTCTTTATTTATATATGAGACTAAAGGGAGTAGATTTTATTTTTTTAGATGAGATTAGTGAAATTAAGTGATATTAACTAATTATAAATAACTTAAATTAGTTTTTCCTTATATTTAATATTGAAAGGAAGGAGAATAAAATAAAATAAAATGTATAAAAAATTATTAACCCAAATGATTCCATACGTATATTCTTTAATTAAAGATTTAGATTTGATTTTTATTTTAAACAAATAATCGCGATCAAAATATTGTTGTATGAAAAATGCTTTGTGACAAAGAATTAATGTAATCTTATAAAACATGGATTAATCATGGTGAAAACAAAACTCCAAAAACGCATCACAATAAAATCCAATGAAGCTTCATCCAACCAAAAATCAGGTCAAGGACAAGTATATGCACATACATGTTGAAAAAATAGTTTTAAGCATGCGTATTTGTACACTACTGTGATGTTCTTTCTTTTACCATTATAACTTATAAGTTTTGTAAACACCAATAGACATTTTCAAGATCCTTGGAAAATAAATCCTAAGAACTCCATTTAAAATTCATAAGGCTCTATTTGATTCAATTGAGGAGTGAAAAGTAACTGTAACAAAGGTAAGGAAAGAAATAACTCTATCTTTATTAACAGAGAACATTTTAGTCAAACTATTTAAAATATAATATTCACTTTTCCCACACTCCAAATTCAGTGAAGATTGGAGGAAAGAAAAATAAAATTGAACAAGGAGAACCCCTGTTAAAAATTAACCAGACAAATTAGTTTTCAAAGGAAAACACGATCATACCCTCCTTTATTTTCTCTCTATTGAAATATAATAAATAATATTTAAATTAAATTAGTTCACATATAATTTTCAATTCACAATCTTAATCTCTTAAATTTTAAATTTAGTAATTTTAGTCTCAACTTTATAAATTCTACAATTTTAATTCTCTTATTAAAAAAAAATTTAATTATTAAAATTACAATATTTAACATAACCTAATATTAAGTATAATATCAAAGTAATATCTAAATTAAATTGTACTTGCAATTGATTTTTTAATAATTAAAAGATAAATACTCAACACAAGGATAACATTATAAAGTTTATAAAATAAGAAAACAAAAATTCCAGTTTATGCATTATAAAAAAGACTATATACCCAATATGGCGTAACATTTATTTGCAGCTAGTATAATAATGTCTGTTCCCACAAGTCTCCATGAATAATTCTTTACTTCTTACCACAACTCGACTAAAATTACTACGAATTTCACAGACATTGTATAAAAATTCCAGTCAACATCTAACAAAAACGGTCAAGTCCCAAATTAATGACAAGTCATTGTTTTATCTTAACAGGCATGAGGCATTTATTAAACCTGGAAATTTAAAGGCTATGCACATAGCAAACAGGAGACTGAGTAAATATCTCAAAACGCAAACTCGCACACTCAAACAACACAATAGTTATACCCATGTGAATACAAGTCCCAACTTTGACCTTCATTAACTAGACCAAAGTCAATGCAAAGACCACCTCAATTAAGCATCAGAAAGACCCATCAACAACGCAGCATTATAAAATCTGAATTATTTGCCCGTGTTAATATCTCAAGATGTTTATCCTCAGAGTATAAACCATAAACAACACCGCCATAAAAAAAATGATTTAAAACAAGAGGATTTCTATTAATGAAGCAAACACCTACACACAAGACAATGCACTAAGAATTAGAGTGTTTGAGACACACCAATTTTCCTTTTACACAAAAAACACCCAAACACTAATACATATACATAATCTAAGCCTTCTTGGGAGACTTGGTAGCTTTGGAGGGGGATTTAGGCTCCTTAGCAGCCCTCTCAGTCTTCTTAGGCAAAAGCACAGGATTAATGTTGGGAAGAACACCACCATGAGCAATGGTAACACCAGCAAGCAATTTCCCCAACTCCTCATCGTTCCTCACAGCCAAAAGCACGTGCCTGGGGATTATCCTGTTCTTCTTGTTGTCACGTGCAGCATTCCCAGCCAACTCAAGCACCTGCACAATCCACGCACACCCACTTCAATATCCAATCACAAGATCACTAAAAATCATAAATTTAAGAGTGGGTCATGAAAAATTGACTACCTCAGCAGCAAGGTATTCAAGAACTGCAGCAAGGTAAACGGGAGCGCCGGTACCCACGCGCTGCGCGTACCTTCCTTTCTTCAAGTAACGCCCAATTCTACCCACCGGGAACTGGAGACCGGCCCTCACTGACCTTGTCACCGGCTTCTTCTTTGGGCCGCCACCCTTCCTTCCTCCGGCGCCCTTCTTGATCTTTCCACCAGTGTCCATATCGGAACCCTAGAATTTAGCAGCGAAGAAGAGGAATTGGGAATTGAGAGAGTTGAACACGAGAATTGGATGAGAGAAGATATTGCGTAGGGTCGGTTTTATAGATAAAGCTTTTGGACGCTGTCGATGTCATTACAAGGATCCGGTTTTCAGACAAAACATGGACGGTTGGATTAGCTCTTATCTACGGCTCAGGCTTCATTATGTGGCAATCCGTGTGTGTAACAACTGACCAATGGGATGCCGCCACGTCACATTTTTTCATTTCTGCTCAGATAGAGTAATAATTATTAATGGTGGAGTGTTTGCCTCACAATCAGACATTAAAAAAAAAAAAGTTTCGGTTGGGTTTAACGTCATGGCAACCAAGTGTTGCTTCCTAAAGTCGTGATTGGAGAAGTTTAACATCATGTTTGCAAGGAGGCAAACGGATTTCTATAACTTGCATTAAGTTTTTTTCTTTTTCTTTCTTTTAGCATTACACACACTTTTTAAATTTATGCATTTTTAAATTTTGTGTGAAGATATCATGGTAGATGAGTTTACTTTCATTATTTCTATTATCAAATATAAATAAATATGATTTACGTAACATATTTTGAGGTCTAAAGTAAATTTTGAAGTTTGATTTTTTTAAAGATAAGAGAGTAATAAGAAAATCAACTATCATTTATAAAAAAAGAAATTTTCAATAAAAATTTACAATATTATGATCAAACCTCAATCTTTACAATGTTAGACTTAGGGGGTGTATTGGTTTAGGATTCCGTAGAATTTTAAAAGATTTTTTTGAGTAAAAAAGTCTAGTAGTATTCAATCAGGATTTTATGCCACTTAAAAATAATTCAGTGGTATTCAAGTTGGATTTTCAATATTTTTTAAATAGTCCATTAAAATCCATTTGTATTCATTTGAGATTTTTTACTACTTAAAAATAATCCATTAGTATTCAAAAATATAAGGATTTTAAAGGATTGTTGTTTAGAGAGATTTTGAAAGACTTTCTAGTGTTATCTATAAATACCAAATTCATAAAACAATCACATCCAAACCTATCGGATTTTGAAGGATTATTTGAAGTGACTTTTCAAGTGCTTCAAGAATTTTCAAGTGAGTTTTCCATTTTTTTTTCTGTGCTCCTGTCTTCTCCATTTTTTGTCTGCTAATAATATTGCACTATTGTTCATTGGTCATATATAATATTGTAGTACTGTTCTCATTCCATTCCCCTATTTTGTGAAACTCCAATATGTAAATGATAGTATCATTGACTTATTCTATTTTTTTCATTTAGTTGAATTTCTTTCTTTATATAACACAAAAAAATGCTTGAATATCAAATATTCTCTTTATCAGACCTAACAGTCTTTTTATAGGTCCAAAACTAATATTTTTAAAATAAATAAGTTTTTTTAAGAGTCTAAATATGATTTTTTTACACCATGCAAGACCTTTAGTTCCCTTAGGGCACCTACAATAAAATTTACAGTTCCATTTGCAATTTTATATGGGACAAGCCTTCTTCTCATTGGGTAGGATGGGATAAGGTCACTCAATCGAAGTGTACAAGAGATTTATGTATTCAACAATCTAGAGAAACAAATATTACACTCATTGGGAAGCATATTTGATCCTTGCATCACCACATAAACAAGCTTTAGGTGCGTGTGTTGATGAATAAATACTTAACAGATTTGAATGTTATAAGTGGTGTTGATAACAAAGGTATTTCCTTCACTTGGCAATCTTTGATGCTTGTGTATGACTTTCTCGAGGATGGCTTCAGATATATAGTGGGGAGGGGTGACATCTCTCTATTTTTTGAGAAATGGCTTGAGGAGGAACTACTATGTAACCAAGTGGAGTTAGTTCACAAAAATGACGATTATCATTTGTGCATCAATGATGTGTTGGTCGACGATGAATGGAGGTGGGATGTTTTGCACATGCAACTTTTGCAAGATATCAAACAAAGTATGATGAGCATCTTCTTGGACATTAATACTGAGGATAAAATTATTTGGAGCCACAGGTTGTTACATTGCCAAGTCTGTTTTCTAGTGGATAATCCATGAGCCTACCAATCATTCTTCTTTATTACGAAATTGAACTTGCGTTTGAAATATACCTTTTTAATTGAACATGTCAAAATATTTTGATGGCTTGCCTTCTACATAAGCCTAACCGCTAACCTTTTCCACATTAAGCGACATGTAGTTGTTGTTTGCTCTTGTTGTAGGAGTGGGGCTCTCGAGGAGTCCCTTCTCCATATGCTTCAAAGTTATCCTACTGCTATAAACATATGGAAGAAGCTCAATCTTGTTAATGTAATTGACGAGGTTCAATGGCTCAAGCACCACATACAGGGACAACATCACTTGTTGATAGCTTGCGCTTACCAATTTATATGGCGTGCTTAGAATGCAAAAATTATAGACAATGTGAAGTGGTCGGTATGGTTTACTATAAATCAAATAAAGTTGTTACATGATATTATATTAGGTGATCCATTAACTTCTACAACATCTTCGTCAAGGATAGCGGATTCTTAGATTCACCTTCTAGAACATGTGTTTAAACTTAATGTGGATGGAAACTCCATTGACAACCCAAGACTTGTAGGTTATGGAGGTCTCTTAAATAATTTAGCTAGAGAATGCATAACTGGCTTTATAGGTTCATGCGACTTGGTACAAACCTATATGTAGAATTGTTGGCTTTATTGAAAGACACTCAACTTGCTTAGGACATGAATATCTGTGATCTCCTATGTGAATCGGACTCATTGTCTACCGTTCAACTCATTACTTAGGATACTTCATTTTATCCTCATGATGCTGTCATAAATAAGATTTAAGAGCTTAAGTGTCGAGATTGAAACATCACCTTCATGCATATCCTTCGTGAAGGGAACAGTTGCATAGATATGTTGACTAAGATGGTATCTGCCTAAGTATGGCTATGATGGTTTCAACAATTACATTCCTTATTATTGACTGATGTCGTAAGTGTCACTTATTTTGGGTCTTTGTTTTGTTTATTATTTTCGCATTTGATAAAAAAAATCAACTCAAACCTTAAATAGATTAGTCATAAATTTATATTTAAGATCTAATTTATTCTCATTCTTATTAATTAATACAAAATTGAATGTGAACACTCTTGTACTCAGAGTCGATGAACAATAGTGTTGATTGATCACGAGTCATTTAGTCAAAATTAGTCATTATACAATTGATTAATAACATATTTTATGTGCTATTATAATTTATAATTATATTTTTAATAAATACTAACATATATTATATATAATATATGTAAAAAGTAATTTTTTATAATAAATAATATGTCACTATAAAATATGTTTTTCATTATTTTTTTTTTAACATATTGAGACAGTCTCCAAGTTGTAAATACTAACAAAAAGAAACTCCTTTTATAGCAGTCTTGTTAATTAGTGAAATAGATGTCTCATAATTATTCTATTTCAACGTATTTTATTTCAGTTGATCCTGCATGTACATTTATTTTTCATTACTGCAAAATGTTGCTCCCAAACAGTGAAATGAAAACATAGTATCTGGAAAAGACATAATAAATCGATACAAAATAAGTATACAAAAATTATATGCATAATACAAAAGCATCACTCAACTTCATGATAAAATAACATTAATTTAATTTTTTTTCCTTTTGGTACATGAGTAAATAAACTCAGTAGTAAATAGTAATACATGAACAATAATATTTTCAATCAAATAATGTTTACACCATTCAAATAAACCCAAAAATAAGGGTATCAAACTACATCAAATAATGTACGTAAGCAGGCAATTGTTGAAGCACCAACAACCAAAATAATGAACAACATTGACAAGAAATTGAAGCGAGACCGCATAACCTCTTGTTCCGACAAGTAGACCACCTGTCTAGGAAAATCCAAAGGAATCCTAACGAAGTCACCAACACCATTAGAAGAGGTGACACTTAGTTATGGAAGCGAAACCATTTTCGTTGGTTATTATCTTTGAGTGATACTAACTAATGTTGTATAAAATGCCTTTGGTGGATGTAGGCTTGGGCTTATAATCTGGGCACATAATTGTTGGTTTAAAGATAAAATGGATCGCAAATTATGGATACTGATCGGTTATTAGCTTATAAGTTGATGGGAAACTATTATGATAGGTATAGTCAGGTTGAGATATGTTTTTTACTTACAAAAAAGTCCATTAGGTTAATATGACCTACTTTTTAAATAAACATAAATCAATGGTTGTATTGATTGACATTCATACTACTACTTAAACTCGTACTATTAAATTTTCTTGAATTGACATCTTTGTTTTAAATATAATTGTAATTTTTTTAGTTTATAAATTGATTGGTCACATAATTATCAATTAGTTTGATTTTGTGAATTTAATTTTCTATTAATTTCATTACTTTTAAAATGGATTGAAGTTGGATGTAAAAATAGATTAAAATTATTTAAGAAAATGAGTTAAGAGTCTTACTTAACCTTATAAAATTTATTTGTAGGATTAAGATTGTTTACTACTTATACATATTATTATATAATATGATCTCAAACAATTACAACAAGTATTATAATTACCAATCATTTTCTAGATCTAAGCAAATCACATAAAAATTGCCTAGAAAACAAGTATACAATCCATTATCCTAAGAGACAAACAGACAAAAAAAAATCAAATTGCTTAAAAAAACAAAATAAAAAGTTATAGATAGCTTTTTCAAGGAGATTTTAAAAATAACTTTTGTTGATATTCGTTATCTTTATCGACTATGCACAATTTCTATTCTTTCGAGTCTTCTAAAATAGTTTAAAATAAGCATCCATTAAAGCTTTACTATTTTTGTGTGTGAAAATGTTAATATTTGTGCATTTAACATAATAATAAATGTTTTCACCAACATGTAACATAAGAGTTAATAAACCATTGCGTTTGTCTTTTTTCCTAGCACTTTCCATTGTGTATTATTATTTTTTTGACGTGAGTATGCTACTTCATTGAAGTGTTATTTTATCTCCTTAATTTTTTCATTATTTTTCACTTTTTTTTAGA